AATGAAAGAAAAATTTATAGTCTTTTATAATTTAGGTCTGGTGAATTCAGAACAATGGCGCATTTAAATAGACTTGGCGAAAAACGAATTAGATCAAAGTGTCTCTCTAAATAGATTGTTTAGACAATTCATTGCCGTCTTTAAGAATGCTAATTGTAACGATTCATCTTAAATCCTATTGATCTCTGGACAGATCTTGGATTAAAGAGACGGATTCTACGACAAATAGGTCGTAAAACTGACCGATTTTTCCATTCTATAGATGATTTTCCATCTTAAAAACTTAATCATATCTTTTAATATAAATACCTGGCAATTTGAGGCCAAATGTCTCCGCTTTATAATTAAATACATAAAGATAATATTATTGACGCAAGTAAGCAATTGAATGTAAAAAATTCAGAAGCTTAATTTAAGTAATATTTTTGATTTAAGTATTACAGAAATGAAACTTAAATTTTTGGATTACTAAGCGTATATCGTTGTTTTTAAAAACGAGATAAAAATTTTCTAAATTATAAAATAACGCATAATGATCCGAAAATATTAGTTGCATTGAAATGAATACTCTCAAAAGTCTTTTATATATATATATATATATTGAAATAAAAATAGATATGAATTTATGTTAATTTAGTTAACAATAATAACCATGGAATCTTCCAATATCTTTCACGATATTTCTAAAATTATATTTTACCTACAATAAGTTATTCATGTTCTACTTCTAACATCAAATGACTGAATAAAACCGTCTTATAATATATCAAAACGCACACAAAGAGAAGGAAGCGAATACAATCAATATATTTTCTTAGACTTAACGTTCAATGATGTTTGTACACGGAAATGTATATAATTAAACGAAAAACGAGAATTAATATTAAAATATTATCAAACAGGAAATTCGCGAATAGTTTCCTATTTTTTTTTTTTTTACATTTTTCGACTAAATAGTTTGTATATTAATTTATTTAAATGATCTTTCGATTTGTATGTGAGTTTAAAGTCGATTCACGAAGCATTAATCAACTCGGAAGTCTATAGGGCCTTCAGAGAACAGAGTTATTTTTAGATATACCTTTTATAGCGTGGTTTACCGTGAAATCGTTTAAATAACTTCTAAATATCTATATATTTTACGATTAATATGATTTTATACAGAAAAACTAATTCAATGGTTCGATAAGTATGTACATATGGTTTTTCTTTAATAATATTCCAATTATTTTGATATACCTTTGTGAACTCTCAAATATTATGTATTATAAGTATTATATAAAACATAATAATTCAGTTATGATCCAACCTTGTGGTTGTTGGCAGCTATGCTTATTTTAAAAGCTGTTCAAGTAGGAAATGTAATCAGTATGACTAATAATCTGTTCTTTTCCTGCATCTTATAATTATAAAAACCTATATACATATATATATACAGTTTTGAAGTTAAATGTATAGTAATACTAAATTTTAGTTTAAATTAATTGGTAATAAAATATTGAATGATTCATTACCAAGGTCCTGATGTGTCATATGTCTTAATTGGTGTGAGAATTCTTTTATACACTTATTATGAAGAAATTAGTAGTATATAATGCTTCAAAATAAATGCAAATTATTGCAAATTCGATATATATTCATCATCAGCCTATTGATGATGATCACTGCTGAGCAAAGGCCTCTTCTTACATGGTGTAGGTGAGAGCATTTATCGCCACGCTTGCTCAAGACGGATTGGCGATTCAAACTTATAATTTGAAATTATAAGTTCGGATTTTCTCGCGATAATTTGAGTTTTCCTTCACCGTCTGTCAGGATTGTCTTAATAGTTTTCGAAAGTACATATGATTTGGAAAAAATAACAGCAGTTTTTTTTTAAGACTAAAGTGAAAGGTAATTACTATATACGTCTTCTAGGTTAAAAAATATATACGTATTTTGATAATCTATGACTTATCATTCATACAATTCATAGCATAGTATATAAATATTTATATTATTTCAAAATAAGCGAGTAACAGCGTTTCAGTATTTGCATATGAAGAGTTCTACTTTATAACTAAAAAATATTTTATGCCAGAAATACTTAATGAATCAAAATAAATTAGAACCTCAATAAATTATTCTTATTTAATAATATTTTTAGGTCAACGCCTCATAATTTAATGTTAATAATTAAAATGTCATATAAATAAAGATAATTGAGATAAGACCTAATAGTTTCTTAAGGAATCGCAACCGTAAGGTAACACAATAATTTAGATTACATTCATATATCAATTTTATTGAAAGCAAACTTAAATGTTATGTATCGTCATATTATAATACGAAATTTCATAGCATTTATGTGAAAAAAAAACAGTTTTATGTCTTTGGTCTAAATTTAACTAACCCGATGAACCTGTCAAAGCCATGTCAAAAACACTACAAGTGATTTTTGTAAATAAAAGTTTCGGCATATCAAACTTTTAGTGTAGGAAATAGGAGAGGCATGCATTTAAAAAAATTAAAATTTCATTATATTTTTGAAATTCTATATAAAAAGTACAAATAACTTCCGTATCCGCAAGCGAAGTTACCGGAAGCAAGTGATGTTTTTTTATTTCTCTGGGGCAAACTTTCGCTAGACGTAAGTGGTTCTAAATAATTATTGTAATTAAATTAAACAATAAATCAAATCTCAACCAATTGAAGTATAATCATAATATTATATTATAAATACGGAGATTTATAAGGATTTATGCAAAACAATTGAAAAAATTTTGACCTATCTTTAGATGTGTAGACATAACAGAAACTAAAAAAATCCTAAATTTCCTATGGTTCAAGGAATCTTGAATCAGACGATAGATGTCGCTAGTTACTATACCTATTGTTTATACATTAACAACTTAATAAATATTTCTTTGACCCTAATTTCTATTCCAAGAACTTGCAGTAAAAATTGTAAGAAATAAAGTTATAACTCTTTATACTATGTATAATTCATACTATCAAAAAGGTAGTATAGCAAATGTCATATTCATAAATGTCAGTGGAACATTACAAAGGGGTTTGAAATTTAATGCATCGTGATTTACAATGTCCTTCATTTAGAACCATAGATAAAATAAGCATCGTAAAATAATAGACAAGAAATACGTTAAATAAAATAATAGTTAAAAAACAGTTTTCCTTTCCTTATAAATCATTGACACTGAATTTTTTTTTCTATTAGATACTATTTATCTAAAACTAAGCTAACGTTCTATATCATAAATATTATGGCATCGCGCCTTCAATACCAGATGGGTCTCGCTAAATATTTGAATTGACTATACTATAGTCACGTTTACACGACAATATGAAAAGCTGCCAGGTAAAGTTATATTTAATTTGCGTGCTAAATAATTATTCTATACAATAAGTACGTCATATATGTTTCAGTACTTATGTGAAAATATTTAACGTCTTCCTCTCTTAGATTACATCCAGTAGCAATAATTTCGCAATTAAAACAAAATTATGTAACAAACGTGACATTTGCTTTGTTTTAATTTCTTATAAACAAATCAACAAACAAATAATCAACGTTTTGTTGATTAATGAAACAATTGTAAGAATTCGCTTTTGTTTAAAATACGCATACAGTGGAAGCATATTAAATCAAACAATGTATTTTCTACGATTCCATATTCAAATAGTGACGAATAAAGTTTTAATATATAAAAACTTTTTTGTTATTCACTTAAACTTTTTAATAGTTATAGAAAAACTTTTTCATTTCTTTTTATAATTACAAATAGAATTTTTTTTGTTGTTTTTGTTTTGTAATTACGGGAATTACTTATTCGGGAAAACCGTAAGTGCTCATTTAATATTAGCTTGTAACTTATCGATTCCGTGTTGGAATATACAAAATATGACTTCAGAATTTTCTCAGTATTAGTAAGGCGGCCAACCGTCCCGCATTCTGCGGGACCGTCCCGCAATTCTAGACGAAATCCCGCTTTGAAATTATTAGTAAAATAGTCCCGCAAAACGTTGTATGCGTCCCGCATGTCCCGCATCCCTATTTTTCTACCACATTTCTACACAACACCCATACCACGGTTAACAGTGCAGGAACACAGATTACCTATAATAGGGACAAGCGTATCGCGCCCGCGCTAATCTCATTTTCTATCTTCTGAACTCATGACGCGTAAGAGAGTTGTACTTAAATTTAATATGGGCAGTTGCGAAGATTTTTATGACATTCCCAATCTCTAACGACCCCCCCCCCCCCCCCCCGCGGTTCACGAAAAGTTAAGTCCCGCATTCAGTTTTCGGAAAGTTGGCCGCCTTAGTATTAGTATGTTTTGTTATCAATGTTTAATTTATACTACTCATAGATTGTAGTAGATAAAACATTAATAAATTTTCTGAATTACGACATTTTATTCTATATTTATTAAACATTTGCATCGAATTTTTTTAAAAATATACATATATAAAGCATAAAGATGCCTAACTAATGTTGCTATATCGAAAATACTTATTCATTTTCATAAATTGTTCTATTTCTACAACATTGTATTATGTACGGATATATGTTTTTTCTCTGTAATGTACGTAAATAATATCAATTTATTTTTTTTAAACTGTTAGCATCACCTTCATCAAGTGCGTTCGGTACAAAAACATACATTTTAATTTATCTAACAGCTGTCCTTCTTACCTTCAAGAATGAAGATAATAAAATATATGAAAGACGCGCCAAACTAAATGAGAACAATTTATAATACATAAATTGTATGAGTTTCACGTATTAATAATTGTATTACTAGTTATAAGTTCGGCAAATATGCCAATAACATAAAAAACTAGTTTTTTATTAAACAAGACTACTCTATTTATAAGCGACATTCGATATTTGGTTATCTGAATAAATTAGATTGTGTATAGGTTTCATATCATCATATATATATCATTGATAAAACATTTGTTTTTCAAATAATTATGTATGAAAAATAACTTACTTCTGTTTAAAATAATCCGATATTTGGCTGATTTTCCAGAACATTTGCACCAATAGCATTAGCAACGTGTGGTTAATCCATGTGTATAACTTATAACAGCTTTCCATTGCACCTTCTCGAGCCCAAAAAAACTTTAACGAAATCTCAGTCATCTAATCTAATTTATATTATTAATGAAACGTTTGTTTATTTATTAATCGGTTTGAATTACTGTAACGTACAACGCTCACAACGTACTCGACTTGATTGTTGCTTATCAAAACACCTTGAACGAAAATAGGCGGCAGCTATAAAATTGACCGCACACCGACGCCAGTGCACGCGAACTGAACAAGTAACAACTAAGAACTAAGAAGTATAAGCTTATTGAATCGTGATTCGTTCGTTACAACGTGTGACGCTCGCTGCCAGCTATGAGTGATGTCAAATGACTCACTACAGACTATCCAATGTTTGATAACCGCCAAAAGAATTCTCGGCCATATTACACTCAATGTCAAAACAATAATTTCAAACTAAATACTCAGACATATATTTTTCTAATCTTTTATCTACAAGATAAGATAGCGTTCAATTTACAAGTAATGACTTTTAAATTATTATTCATTTTATGGATGAATACAATATTGTTGTTTCAAGGTTTCAACGGTAACTGTCCTCAAATCATAATACTTAAAGATATTATACTGTTATAAATAAAAGATTATGTAAAATCCTTAGTTAATTACAGATAAAATAATGATGACAGAATAAATACCATTAATAATTAATAATAACAAACCGTGAAAGCTATTTTGTATAGACATTAAGAAATCCAGTTTCTGATTTGACTTATAATGATGCGAATAATAAATTATGTAAAGATTTTTCTCAGAATAAGTTTCTCTAAAATAAAATGTCGTCGAAAGTATGACCGATTATTTTCTATAAATTATATAATAAGATGATTAATTTGTATTTCCTATAATGTATATTTATTATATTTGAGATTAAAAAATCAATGCATAGAAAGTAATATTGTTTTCAACTATTATAATACGGGCACGCCTTTGGCATATTTATTATAGTTCAATACTAAAACCTAGGTGTAGCCGTCCATTACGCTCAAGGCCTTACAATGTTTATGGCATTTCATAAAACTGTATAAAAACATAACTTTTAAGGCTTTGACAGCGCATTAACTTGTGTTAAAGCTTTGTAAATGTTTTTAAAATATGGATTCTTTATGAATATCATAACATTTTATGAATATATAAACAGAATATTTATGGGAGTTGGTTCTGATTAAATATTTTTTATTAATAGGCTGAAGTATTTTTCCAATGAGTCTCAACTCGTCAAATCTACCAATGACGCTGTCAAAGCAGAGCGAACAGGAATATTCCGCAGACAAAAAAATTTTCATCCTACTTATATCGGAACATTAACCATTTAATCATATTTTTAGATGTTGATGGAATATTTAAATTTATTTCATCAAGAATATTTGTAGATACTCAAAATAATGTTTATATCATACGAAAGTTTATTATTAATTCTTTGGTTCACTGCCAGCCAAATAAAAAATGTTCCTTAAAATTTTAACAATAAATTTTACAATACCAACACATAGAAGCGGCGTGTTTGTGTGTATGTTAGTTGATTATTTTTATTCAATTACTAGCTTTCCACCCGCAGCTTCGCCAGCGTGGTCTTCGGTTATATCGCGTTTCCAAGAGAACCTTTAAGAAGTCTGGGTTAAAAACTATCCTATATTCTTTCTCAAGGTCAACTCTATCTCTGTACCAAATTTCATTAAAATTTGTTAAGTGGTTTAGGCGTCAAAGCGTAACAGACAGACAGACAGAGGTACTTTCGCATTTATAATATTAAGTAGGGAAGTAGGGATTGAATGTACTGGCAAGAAATTCTTATTCATGCATGTATATCCTGTTTCCTCCGTATATTGTCAATAATATTTTAAGAAAACAACTTATAGTTACAATTTTGTAAGAGAAAATGAACCAAATATTGTCTTTTTATTTTAAAATTTAAATGTGATTTCGAAATCTGTAAAGCAAAAATCATAGTGTGTACAATTTGATCTTTAAATTTAGGTTTTAATTGCTTAAAACACTTTAGTCAGTCACAGAACTAGATTCTATTTAAAGCTGCCGGCAAATATTTGTTTTGGAGTGCGCACAAAAGTCCAGTGCCTTTATTACGAGTTTGCACCAAAAACTTCATACCAACAGTTACACGTATTTTATTTCGTTTTCATGTTTTAATAAGTCAATTAAAATATTGGAACCTTATAATGGAGACTGAAATTTCTTGCAGAACATACACAAAACAGTACATCCCGACAATTAGGCCGTCAATTTAAAATTTATGTTTGGCAATTTTATTTTGAGTGTTGGCCCGCCACCAAACATTTGGATGCTGACTGTGCAGAAAAATATTAAAACAACAGATAATATAAGGTATTTGTTTATTTTTTTATTTTCAATGGCATACAGATAAAAAAAAATTGTTAAAATTGCTGTCGTTTCAATGATCGACGATGACTTCTTGTTATCAATATACGTGTGCGATAATATTCTTCAACAGTGTCTTATAAATATTGGATAGTATAATCACATAGTCAGCTTAAATCTATACATTGCTAGCCAAGATAATCAAAATTTTCTCAAGCCCACACATTTTTTTTAATGTTAGGCTTCATACGCAATGGAATAATACAACATTTTTTTTAAACACAAAGAAAACGATTTTGTAAAACTTCCTACATGTCAACAACTGACAACTGACACTTGACAGATGAAAAATCGGCTTTTCAAAATCAACAGCTTATATATTTTATATTTAAACTATTTTTTATGATCTTGGTTTATACGTACAATAACCGTTTGTGTGATTGTTTACTTCATTACCATTTATCTACATACTTATCTGTTTGAAGTAGAATTGGGAAAATGATAAGATTATTTCATAAGCTAGATAGCTGAAAGTGGAACTGATAAATTAATATTTGGAAGATGCCATAATATGTAATATATATTATATATTAAAATTTCGACCACATCACCCATTTTACACGAGTTTCAGAACGTAGGTATAAAAATTATATTTCCGAACGGTCGCGTCAAGGTTGTTTAAGCTTTAAATAAGAACTTTAATAAAATAGCAGTATTTGAAATATCGGTTCCACGGTCATTGGTCCCTATCGACATAGAAATTGGTCATGACTAGAGTGATTTATTAACCTCGCGGGGACAAGGTCATGTGGGACATTTAGAAGCCATCAAACTTCAGTGTACAGCCAGCAACAACATCAAAAGAATGTTCAGTTAATGGTTTTATTTAACGAGAAAATAATTTTGTTTGTGACTAGTTCAAAAGTCTGTTTTATAAATAATAAATGTATTTATAATTATTAAGAATATTAACAGATATCTTAAAAATTAAGAATCATGTAATGAGATATCTAATTGAACTGACTGTCAAGAATAACATTTGCTTTTTTTATATTATTTCTGACTGAGAGTTACATATATTTTTAACTTGTTTTTAGAATAATTTATAACTTAAAAATAATTTAAAATCATAAAACTATTGTATTATTAATTTGTAATAAACACACGATGTTTTAATAATCCTCAATTTTGTTTTCTCGTTTTTTTTTAAAGAACCATCTTAAGGCCTCGGCCTCGAATTTTGCGGGCAGCGGAGCGGCAGCGGCGGCGGCACGAAAACGCATACTATTCTCCAAACTAGCGGGCAGCGGGCACCGCTGTATTCGAGGGTCGGTCCATTTGATTATACGCGTAAGATCCTGCCGCTCCCGCTCCCGCTCCGCTGCCCGCAAAATTCGAGGCCGAGGCCTAACTGTCAATTTTAAGCTATTAGTACCCATAGTAAAGCATAACCCTCTCTTTTTAATTATGGGTAGTATGTAATATTTTAAAACAATATTATTATTTTATAAAATTACCGTCCAACAACTAAGCGACGTCTCAAAAACTACATGACTTTCTTATTAGTTATTAAAAAATTTCTTGCTACGATACTGTTCAATCCATTTAAATATATATTTATCTAGATAAGCTATTAAGGAAAATAAATCAATTGCAATGTTCAAATACTATAAACGTTTATAACCCTTTTAAAGTTTAACCCAGATAGTACCAATGACTTACGCCAAGACTCTTCTATGGGGGTCATTGACCTCATTACTATGGCATATTGTATTCAGATGAGGTGTTATACAGTATTACATTCACATAGTGATGTAACATGATACATTTGTTTCATATAAATCCCATACAATGACGTATTTAATTTACGACCAGTTTTTCACTAGTTATAACTGAATCTACTGTTTTGTATACTGAGTACTTAAGATTATAATCCGTCCAAATTAAAAAGATGACATTGGCGAAATATTCCACGATTTCAGTGCGAATGAAGATGTAGCACAGAAATAAATTCCATTTACCTGTGTATAGTTTTCAGTTAAATTAGATTTGAAATAAATTTAATAGTTTTGTTACTTAAAACTTAGCCCAATCAATGAAAGTAAAACAATTCTATTAATTTAATTTATAAACTAATTTAAAATAAGGTTACGGTTGTCATTTTTTCGCGCGCAAATTTTAGGGTCTTTGACTCTAAATAAAAGTGATAATATATAAATTTATTTTGAGTTAAATGACGAAATATACATTTGCACTTTCATTAAATAAATATATATTTGATTTAGCTTGAAATTAAATACGTTTATGTTTATATCTTATTAAATATTTACTCAGAAGGCAGACATCGCGAGACATGGAAAATTTTCTGAATACTATTTTCGGCTTATCACAGTGAGTTGGGATTTGAGTGTAATTGATGTTATTATGAATAATTAATTAAGATTTTTCATACTGATGCTTTATTTGAAAATATTTAATATACAGGGTGACTGGTGAATTACTATCGATATTTGAGGACGTGATTTGTGACGATCATATATGACAAAATAAAAATTAATATAACATAAATATTAATAAACTTCTAAGTAAAGTTAACCAAAAGTTATGTAATTAATTACGCATCGTATGAACACCCTACAGATTAGGTATAC